TGTTCTCCTCCGTGAGCAGGGGTTTGTGGCACGACGAGCGGCGGTGCATGATTCTATTCATGAGAGCACGACTGAGAGAATGAAGATGGTCTCACTTCGGTCCTTCGGACATGTCTCTCAATGTGCTGTGTTGTTGAAAAGGTACTTGTCTTATTAGCGCCTTTAGGGGCTCTTCCAAGTACCGTCGTACTTTAAACCCAAAATGAGTTCCCAAGTAAGTTTGTCGTTATTTCATCGCACTTTCGTCGTGCTTTTGTCGTGTTTTCTGCTTCCACGTGATTGGCTAGTGATGGTTTTGTCGTGTTTTGTGTTTTGAGGTTTTCAGCGCGCACGGATTGGACAAACCTATCCAATCACAGTGGCATATGCTTACATACTAATTTTCATATAAAGACCAATGTGCTTGCTCACCAGCGAAATTTGCCGGCAGCGGTGGTGACCTGCCCTAGATCCAAGCACAAGGCCTAGGTCATACGAGCCCTAGGAACATGTAGATTGACAAGAAGCATGATAGATATGCCTAGCTATAGCTTTGAAGTCTCCGCCATGATGTTCCGCAGCCTCTCCTCGTACATAACAGCAGTCGAGTTGTGCCGTGAGCAAGACATGGCACGGCTCGCTGTTACCACAGGTATCGTCATGGCTGCCAAAGCGTTCACAGCGGTACTGTGGCATGACCCCAAAGGTATCCTGCGGAAGTGGGATTGATTTCACAGTTCCTGGTGGTGCAGTTGACGAGAACACGCCCACTAATGGCGGCTCCGACCAACCTCGGCATGGACTTGCAGCCCCAAGGTGCGAGTAGAATATCCAATACTCAGATCAAGTAAAACGAAATCCAATCATTTTAACCTACTTGGGATGCACAAATACCCAAAACACGATCAAAACATGACTCGCCATCGTACTTTGAAAAAGAATTTTCGAAGTACGACGGAAACGATTCTGATTGGCTCCGTTCGTTTTTGAAAGTTACTTGGAAGAGCCCCTTATTTAATTCACATGTCGGGCGTGGTAGTGCACATGACGAGAACTTCAATTGTGGACACAGGCCCCGTGGTTTTATTCCATTCTTCTTATTATTAATTTAAATAGATCTGGTGGTGCTAAGGCCTTGGCGATATTGACGACCCAAACTTCGTTTCTGTGTTACCTTGCCAATTGACTTTACCTCTAGTTTTTGATTATCTCTTTTTCGTGGTACAGTATTCAGTATCTAATTGGCCCAACAATGTATTTTTGGGGTCGCTTCAAACCCTTACTACTGTAGTATGGTGCCAATAATAGCTAACAGAGGAAGTATGGTATCTACCATTACTTTTTGACCGAAAATTGCTTACAGTTAACAGTAAATTCATCTGAAATTTCGAGATGTAAAAATACCGAAAGTTTCATATTTTTACTTTTGACAGTGAGTTGGAGATTCGTATGTCGATAACGTTATGTCCAGTTGAGCCCGTAACTGGCTGGCTCCACTGTCAGCATCACACCACAGTCGCTCGGGTCTTAAAACACCAATGAGTTCGAGTTTAATCTGAAATTTGTGAGTGGTCTATTTTGCCAACGACAGTTAACTGTTCTTTTGTTCAGATTCATCCCAATGGCGACAGCCCCAGCAGCACGACTCGGGCGAAAACAAGTGATTCACGTGACGGATGTCGACAGGGCGAGGAAGGAGCTGGATGAGATATCGAAGGCGTCCCCCGCCAACGCACCATCCATCGATCAAAACGGTGATGCTTCGTGGGGGCCTGTTGTCTTGTGCGAAGCCATCACGTGGAATGATTTCGAGCGATGGCTCAATGCCAACGAAGGACGAGTGCGACGGTGGGTCTTTGAGCCTCTGGCTGATATGCCGGACAAGGGAAGAGTGGTCATCTACAGCATTCCATCGGTCGTTCACGGAAGGACATCCGATGAGATCTATCGGTCGATTCTCATGCAAATCGCATTGGCTGGAAATGACACGCGCCTCATCACTACTGTGGAAGGGCCAATTGTCACTTGTCGGACGGGAGACCATGGTCAAGAACCAGATGCTTGCGTTACTCCTGTGGGTCTGGCGGTTGGAGGAGCGGTGTTGGCGGCTAGAGGAGGCTTTCCATATCCCAACGTCATCGTCGAAGTGGCCTACAAGAACGACTCCCAAGAACGACTTCGTGCCAAACTCGACCGTTGGATGAGTGACACTACTTCTGTCCAAGTAGCAATTGGAATCAAGATCGATGCTGCTACCCCGAGACGAGTAGCTATCTTGCTCCAACGTGGTCAACCAGTTATGCCACCTCTGGAGTTTGGACATCCTGCGCCAGGCCCGCTTCAGATTTCGTTCCCCTTCGCATCTGTGTACGCTGGTGTTGCGTTGCCACCTGCGTTGGCTGGTCTCGGCAATACCCTGATTTCGATTGATTTGATTCAGTTGCGAACTGTGATTGATGAAGCCATCGGGCAAGACATGCCTGCAGCTCAGTAACGCATCCGTGTACGTACTCGCCTAGCGACGACCTGCCTAATCAAGCAGAAATTTATCACTTTTTACCACCATTCAACACTATTTTGTTTCCAGAGGATTAAACAATATTCACGTTCTAGACGTGAACTATATATATAATAGCTTTTACATCACGCATATTACTCATGATTTATTGTGGTATATTCGACACGAATTTCCAGACCCCGTCGAATCGAATCTCGCCGCCGAATCGACGCTATTGGCTAATCCAATTTTTGAATGGATGTGATTGGCTCTTGCAGAAAGGACAAGTATACTGTCAACCAATCAGAACTCCGGCAAGTGATTCAATATTGATTCGACAAATCACGCGAATTTTGCAAGTATTTACTATTAAAAGTAGCGAATTTACAATACAACGCTGTTGGTATTACTACTAGTAGTATACAGTAGTACTATTAATAGCTTTCATCACCAAGCATAAAATTGCAACTACTCCAGTGTGCATAGTAGTACCAATAATAAACTACTAAGTCGTCACGTCTTCCAAAAATAATTCAAATATCTACTATTTGTAAAGTATTAATCTTGGCCTTATCAGGCAGGGACACTCATCAGCAGCGGCTTTGGGGGCGATGCTTCCCCTCCAACTAGCCGCCCGAGCCAGCCTTGCAGATCGGAATAACTCATGTCTCCCTCGGGAAACGTGAACGGCACAAACTTGGACTGGTTGGTGACTGCGACAATCACACCTACAAACAAATATTGTGAATTCGCTTGAAACTTGCAAAATGCGCGTGGTTTGTTGTCTAATCAATATATTGAATATCACTTGCTGGAGTTCTGATTGGTTGAATATATTTGTCGTTTCTGTAAGAGCCAATCAAATCCACTAAAAAAAGGATATTACGCCAATAGCGTCGATTCGTGAGATTCGGCGGGGTCTGGAAAATTAGGACCAAATCTTCCACAATATTTCAAAATGTCATTTGGAATGAAAAATAGAACGTGCAACACGTCCAAAACTATCATTTTGAATGAAAAAAAATATATTGTGCTTTCGAGTGAAATTTCATTGTGGCGTGGTTTTATCGCTGGAATTTTAATCGATTTGATTGGCTACCTCCAAACTTATTAGCCAATCAAAACCTTCTAAATGAAATTCAACAACCAATCATATCGATTGTACATCGGTTTGGTCGGCGCGATTGATTCGATTGCACCCAAATTTGTATATCAAATCGACAATAAACAAAAAAAAAATTACAATCGAAAACTGCGTACGTACACGAAGCAGACTCGATCAAGTGGGCATCGAAAAAGGCTGTCCAGTTGGATCTGCGACTTGGTCCGCTGTCGACATCAACCCAGGCAAACACCACCGGGTCGAGCTTAAATTCTTCTGCGACAGCGTCGGCGTGGATCCATTGCGCTACATATATATTGTCAAATCGATTCGATTTAAACTGGAGCAGAATCGATTGTGTTAAGAGAATGGATGAAAGAACTGTCTAAGCCAATCAAATCACATTCTGCGAAATTTCTGCCAATCCAAACGTTTGACTCGGCAGAGTTGGGCTAAAAACCATATACTACAGTACTACTACGTACTATATATATATATACTGATCTTTTTAAGAGTATAGTTTGTATTGTCGATTTGATATATACAAATTCGGGGACGGTGCAATCGAATCAATCGCGCCGACGAAACCGATCCACAATCGATCTGATTGGTTGTTGAATTTTATTTAGATGGCTTTGATTGGCTATTAATTTTGAGCTCATCGGAGGTAGCCAATCAAATCGATTTAAATTCCAACGAGAAAGCACAATATATACAAGCTTGATGATCAAATAAATGGATTTGAATGCTACTACTGTATTTGGCAATATATACAAGTATCACGGATATGCATGTAACTGAAACGAGGACAACGGACCTAGACGAGAGCAGTACGACGGCGACGTTCGCATGCAAAAGATCACAACACGACGCCGTTTGGTCTGGAGCAGCTCGGGCGTGAGCTCTTGGACATGGGGCGCGTATGTCGCTGCCAACGACGCGAAAGGCGACGTACTTAGGCGCTGTGACGAGGGGGTTGGGGGTGTCGACTGGGCATGGGAAGTTGAACGGGTTGTCGATTCGTTGTTGTTGCTGTCGTCATCTTCCGTGACCTTGGTGTAAATGTACATGGCGATGACGCCGAGAACGAAGAAGTACAAGATGGGAGTCGTGGAGTTGGTTGATGACGGAGGTCGCTGCTGCTGCTGGGACGAGTACGAGTAGTGGTAGTACTGATGTTGTTCCTGATGGTACTGGTGTTGCGGAGGAGGCTGGTGGTACGAACTGTACCGGCTCTGAGGGGACGAAGACGGACGTTTGGTAGTGAGAGACTCGTATGCTTCTTGAATGCGCACAAAGTTTTCCTTGGCCGCTTCCTGGTTGCCCTGGGTGTTTTTGTCGGGATGGTACTTGATGGCGAGTTTCTTGTACGCGCGCTTGATCTGTTCCTCCGACGCGCCGCGGGAGATGCCTAGAGTTGAGTACGGATCGGCGGACTGATGGTACCCATGCACGAGGCCGTTCTCTCCCTGGAAGGACACGCTTACGAGTGCTAATGCAAGCCACAGCCGACGCCAGCAGCGCATGACTACGACAATTCACGCCCGTTCGCACAATTCAATAAAATATCTAGGTATTTGTAAGGTTGTCTCTTTTTTTACAATAAAAACACGTGTCATGATATTGACCAATCACAGAGTTATGCTTGGTTGTTCATTCTGTCGTTGATCAACCCCACAATGATCGCCAGCAAGACAGCAATGACAACATAGAGTGGCGTGGTGTCGGCTGCCACGAGCGCGTTCGAAGGGGCGGCACTGCTCCCAGTCTTTGTCTTCGCCTCGGCTGCATTGCGTCGTGCATCGCGACTCTTGGCTGCCCCTTCCTTGCTCCATGGTTGCAGCTTGCCTCGGAATTCGTCCACCGATGTGTACCCTTTTCGCTTCATGATGTCTTGAAGTTCCTTGGCAATACGATCAAAACACTTGGGGCCTTCGATCCAATGGCACGTGCCCACTTGGACGGCTTGGGCCCCGCAGAGGATCATGTTGAACACGTCGTCGCCGGATTCGATGCCACCCACCTACAGTGAAAGCCACCCGCGTCAGGTTCCTGGAGAGAGAGAGTCTGATTTATGCACACGTACTCCAATGACGGCAATATCCGGGCGAAGCAGTTCGCGCATCTTCTTGACGTTGGCTAGCGCGGTGTACTTGACAGCAGGACCGGACAACCCGCCAAAGCCATTCTTCGGTCGGATCGCTGGCATTTCCGCCACCGAGTCGACAACCAAGGCATTGCCGACCGTGTTGATGGACGTGGCGAACTGAATACATGTGAATTGGTTGATGATCGCCGCGGCTTTTTCGAAATGGGGACCGTCAAAGAACGGCGGCAGCTTGACGCCTAGTAAAGCAGCCGTTAACGTCTATTTTGTTTTATACGCTTCATAGCCATTCATTGCACTGTACCCAATGGTGTAGACGACGACGCCATCAGAGCTTGCACCGCCGTGAGCACCGTCGCGAGCTGGTCGAAATCGTACGCAATGATAGGGTGGCCAATCACGTTTGGGCACGCCAAGTTGAGTTCGATGGCCTACATACTTTAAGTCAGACTATGACGTGGTAGTATAATAACTACACTAACATGCACGCCTTTGGTGGCACTCGCTTGCTTCAACATGGCCAGGTTGTCGGCGAGGTTGTGTCCAGACAGCGACACCATGTACGGCTTGGACCCCGCCGCAGCAATGGCCTCGTTCGACAGGTAGTACCCAATACCTTTGTTTGGCAGACCCTCCGAGTTGAGACTCGCGACGGTGTCGCTTTGCCACGTGCGCGGCAGGTCGTTCCCGGTCTGTTCGAGGACGGTGGCGCTTTTGGCGAGGACGGCGCCGGCCGCCGACGCGGCGATCTTGGCGAGGGCATCGGACGAACCGGTGCGAGGGCCGCTCGCATTGAAGATGCACGTTTCCAAGTGCAAGCTGCCGCAAAGTGTGGTGGAGAGCGAAGGACTACTACTACTTGTCATGCTTGGTGATCTCGATGCAATTGGTGCAGTTTCGGCTGCCAGCCATGTGCTTCCAAAATCACACTAATACAAGGTGAGTGCCTTTTTTATGTACTAGTAGGAAACAGCATTTCCTTTAATTAGTCTTAATGGTTTAACACATACTAGTAAATGTTAAGGAATTTATAGTTAACAATATTAGAGCTCAATAGGATGGCGCCTTTGCGATTTCGTTTCCCCTGGCATCTGTGTATGCTGGTGTTGCATTGCCACTTTAATTGATGTAGCCATCGCATACTAGCTGCAGTAAGCCTAACATTATGAGACCTAACTCCGATTTTAACACATCAAGCTGCAAAAATTGTATTCACTGTCAGTTAGTCGAAGATTTGTGGTGGTTCAATGAAAGGGTCAACAGGTATTCGTTCAACTCAACAGCAAAACATGTGCACTTCAGGAACCAAAATATAATACAGCTCCCAATTGACTGAACTGCTTTCTGCGTGCATGAACACTTTCGGGCGTCTAATTTGGGTTGACTGTGAAGCCGCACCACCAAACCCTGAATGAACGACGAAATGCTGCATATGACCACTCTTCCATTGTCCGTCCCATCCGCAAGAGGCTCAAAGGCCACTCGCCCTTCGTTGACCTCGAGTCACCGCTCAAAATCTTCACATACAAGACAACTGGCCACCATATTCCATCACCGTTTTGATCGATGGATGGTGCGTGGGCAAGTGAGTCGTTCCAGACCACATCCACCGCCTATTTGGCCCTGCCGACATTGGTCACGTGAATCACTTGCATTCGACCGAATCGTGGTCTGCCACCATCGCTCGAAATCGGAAGCAAGGAATGTACAGTCCCAGGCAAAGTAAGTATTAATATGAAGTTTCAAATATAATCCTCGCAGACAAGTACGAGTACAGGTTACACCCTCACCTCTTAGCTTTCAAGCGTACTCGTACAAACCGCACAAATTGTAGAAATACAATATTTTTTCTAAGGATCTCAAATAGTTACAAACACAAAAAGCGTCGCAAAAATATTCTCAACCTGCGAATGAATTCTACGCATTTTCTAACCGTGGCTAGCCATAGGTTTAGATGGTGCCAGACACGATACCATCGCGAAGTGTGGGCGACTCTTTGGCAGATTTCAACCTGCTGGTACCGCCATTATAATTGGAGCACTTGAAGTGTACTTAGTACCAGCTTGTCCGAGGGCACAGGTCGTGAATATCATCAACAGAGAACTGGAAGGCGAGGTGCTAGCCTTCACTTGGGTACTCCACAGAGTCCGTGGAGTCGTGTTAGACGAGAATAATGGCAAAGATCGTCATGCTTCCATTAGAAGTGCATATACTTCGAAGTATATACTTGGAGTATAACGCAATATTAATACAAAAGTTACTACTATTATTAACGATTACTGGTACTGTTAGTAATTGGTGTAAGCCACGATATCTCGAAGTGCGCTTTAGATTGTGCCCGACACAACACCAAGTCGGGGGATTTCCGAGCCTTTGGAGGACTTGAGCCAACAGGTGCCACCGTTATAGTTGGTCCATGAGTACGCGCGGCAGCCACTCGTCCTGTTACAATCAGCACAACAACTGTCAGCTGATGACCGTTGAGTACTCGAAATGTCATTTCCAAAGTAATCCACGTTCAGTTCTTGACTGCAAGTCGAATTGACAACAATCGCAGCCTTGGCACCCGCTAGGTACGTCTTGGCCCCAATTTGGCTTTTCAGCCAACAGGTCCCGCCGTTGTAGTCTGTCCAAACAAACAACTTGCAGCCAGCAGTGGCCTTACAGTCGGCGCAGCAGAAGTCAGCAGACGACTGGGATGTCGAAGCAACGTCGTTTCCAAAGTAGTCCACATTCGCTTCGATACCGTTGCACACGGGTGTGATCGAAGGGGTAGGTGCAGGCGTACGGACCGACGTAGGTACTGGAGTTCGAGCAGGGGTGGGTGTAGGCGTGAGTACAGGCGTTCGAGAAGGGGTTCGAACAGGTGTAGGTGCGGGTGCGGGAGTACGTGCAGGAGTTCGAGAAGGAGTAGGTGCAGGAGTTCGAGAAGGAGTAGGTGCAGGAGTTCGAGAAGGAGTAGGTGCAGGAGTTCGAGCAGGTCGAGCAGGTGTAGGTGCGGGAGTAGGTGCTGGAGTTCGAGAAGGTGTAGGCACGGGAGTAGGTGCAGGAGTTCGAACAGGGGTAGTTCCGGGAGTAGGTGCAGGGGTCCGAGCAGGAGTTCCCTCGGGAGTGGGAGCTGGCGTTGATGCTGGAGTCGGCTCTGGAGTAAGAGCTGGCGTTGGTGCAGGGGTAGGTTCAGGCGTAGGAGCTGGAGTCGGCTCAGGAGTGGGAGCTGGGGTAGGCTCAGGGGTAGGAGTTGGAGTCGGCTCAGGAGTGGGAGCTGGAGTCGGCTCTGGAGTCGGTTCTGGAGTGGGAGCTGGCGTTGGCTCGGGCGTGGGAGCTGGTGTAGGTGCTGGGGTAGGTTCAGGGGTAGGAGCGGGAGTCGGATCGGGAGTGGGAGCTGGTGTAGGTGCTGGGGTAGGTTCAGGGGTAGGAGCAGGAGTCGGCTCGGGAGTGGGAGCTGGCGTAGCTGCAGGGGTAGGTTCAGGAGTGGGAGCTGGAGTCGGCTCTGGAGTGGGAGCTGGAGTCGGCTCTGGAGTGGGAGCTGGCGTTGGCTCGGGAGTGGGAGCTGGTGTAGGTACAGGGGTAGGTTCAGGTGTGGGAGCGGGAGTCGGCCCGGGAGTGGGAGCTGGCGTAGGTGCAGGGGTAGGTTCAGGAGTGGGAGCTGGAGTCGGCTCGGAAGTGGGAGCTGGTGTTGGTGCAGGGGTAGGTTCAGGGGTAGGAGCGGGAGTCGGCTCAGGAGTGGGAGATGGCGTAGGCTCTGGAGTGGGAGCTGGTGTTGGTGCAGGGGTAGGTTCAGGGGTAGGAGTTGGAGTCGGCTCAGGAGTGGGAGCTGGCGTAGGTGCAGGGGTAGGAGTTGGAGTCGGCTCGGGAGTGGGAGCTGGAGTGGGCTCAGGAGTGGGAGCTGGCGTAGGCTCTGGAGTGGGAGCTGGTGTTGGTGCAGGGGTAGGTTCAGGGGTAGGAGGTGGAGTCGGCTCAGGAGTGGGAGCTGGCGTAGGTGCAGGGGTAGCAGTTGGAGTCGGCTCGGGAGTGGGAGCTGGAGTCGGCTCAGGAGTGGGAGCTGGCGTAGGCTCTGGAGTGGGAGCTGGTGTTGGTGCAGGGATAGGTTCAGGGGTAGGAGTTGGAGTTGGCTCAGGAGTGGGAGCTGGCGTAGGTGCAGGGGTAGGAGCTGGAGTCGGCTCGGGAGTGGGAGCTGGAGTTGGCTCGGGAGTGGGAGCTGGCGTTGGTGCAGGGGTAGGTTCAGGGGTAGGAGCGGGAGTCGGCTCAGGAGTGGGAGCTGGCGTAGGTGCAGGGGTAGGAGCTGGAGTCGGCTCGGGAGTGGGAGCTGGAGTTGGCTCGGGAGTGGGAGCTGGCGTTGGTACAGGGGTAGGTTGAGGGGTAGGAGTTGGAGTCGGCTCAGGAGTGGGAGATGGCGTAGGCTCTGGAGTGGGAGCTGGTGTTGGTGCAGGGGTAGGTT